TGACAGTTAGAACAATTAATCAGTGAAACAGCTTGCCTCCAGAAGTTGTGAATGCCCCAACACTGGAAGTCTTTAAGAAGATGTTGGATAGCGATTTGTCTGAAACGGTATAGGGTTTCCTGCCTAGGCAGAGGGTTGGATTAGAAGACCTCCAATGTCCCTTCCAACTCTGCTATTGTATTGTATTGTATTGTAATAATAAGTTATTATACTAGATGATCCTGACCTCAAACAAATATAGATGATCGTGACATGATTTAAAGCACTATTAAAAACTGATTTTCTACCAATCTATCCTTTATGCTAAGATTTTGTTCATCATCTTTATTTGCTCAGAGAAAAATCACCTCCCCTTCAGAGGTTCCAAATGTAATATCCCCCACCTTTGTCCTGTAGAATGTTTGGTCCAAATTCTTTTCTCACCTGGAAGGTCCAATTTTTCCCAGGAGAAGATGACAACATCCATTTCACTGGCTGCTGGGAATGCAATACAAAGATGGGGGCCCCGCTCAGAAGGTTCGGAGCCAACATAAGAGTTACCTGAAACAGGGTCAAACAGATAAAATCTCTTCGGCACAGATTGTCAGTTTAGATTATGTTCTGTGTATATCGTTATAAAATGGTACTTAGAATACCTTCATCTGTTAAACTTAAATTTATCTTCAATTTTGGCGAAATGAAGCAAAATCTACAAGAGATGGCCTAGAATTCTTGAGGATATCTGAAGTATGACAAGTGTGATTAAAATTACATTAATAGCTTGCCTTATGGAACAGTATCTGGCCAGAAGCCCGTGCCCTGGTAGATGTTTGTAAGCCTCTAAAGACCTGGCTTTTCCTCCAGATACTTGGCCCTGGCAGTTAGGCGAGTTTTGTGGTGATGTTCTTTTCTTTTGACAGTTACTGTTTAACCAGGACATAATTAGTTGATACTGTTATGATTGTTTTAATCTTGGTATGCTGCCCAGAATCACAGCTGTGAAAGGGGAGGGGCATATAAATTATTTAACCAAACAAGCAAACAAATTTCAAAGCTGATCTATATTTGATGAGGTCTTCCTTTTTTTTATTTCTTCATATCATTTTAAGCAAATAATGGATAAGCTACAAAATCATTTTTACTATTAGGATTGCCCTTCAAAAGTTTTACTGCATAAATTACCACATGATGAGAGGAGAAGAATTCATTTTCCAGACTTGCAGGACTGTAATTGAGCATTTATTGAGCTTTCTATTTTAAGTTGGAATTCAGTGAGCAATAGCAACAGCACCTAGACTTATATACTGCTTTACAGCTCTCTCTCAGCAGTTTACAGAGTCAGCATATTGCCTCCAACAATCTGNAAGAATTAAAAACAGAATGCAGAAGCTATTGCAAGATGAATTTCCAGAATAGAAGTCTAACAATGCCCCTGTCCCTCATGACCACTGCTGATATGTTTCCAAACTATTTGGTGAATGAGGGGCTCTTCGTGCTCTCTGACCTTGCTTGTTTTCTTGCAGAAGTTTCATTACCCAAATAAAGGTAACATCAACAGTGCTAGTAAGGAGTGCAATTTGATGTGCCGCACTCCTTAGTAGCACTGATGGTGTTACCTAGTTTGGATAATGAAACGTCCGCAAGAAAACAGGCAAGCTCAGAGAGCACCAAGGACCCCTCATTATAATCCTGGGCTTCAAATATTCCCCTTTATTGGTCTTTGGTAAGTACTTTTTCCACCTCAGCCCTTTCAACAACTACCTACCATTCAGTCCAGCAATCAGAAGAAACCTGTTCACCCGCTCAGCTTCGGTGTAAGAGGTGAATGCCGGCAGCTTCTGCTCTGCTGCATATTGTAAAGGATCTCTAGCGTTAGCCAGCTCAGGAGATGTCTGCTGAATCACAGTGAGAGGCTGCTTCTTTTCTGGGTTGCTGATGGTGACTTTGTGTGAAGCCTGGAATGAAAACAGGCCAGATGGATACATTGAGAACATTGAAGAGCAACAGCCAACTCAAAGGGGAGGCGGGCCAGGGAAATCAAACAGAAGAACACTAGTGCTTAGAAAGGCTCCTAGATAGAAAAGCATCTTCTCCCTTTCACCAATAAGGAATAACGTGGAGTGACATCCAGCCAAAGAAATAATGCTTGATGTCAGGGAGAACAATGGTACAGACCAGCATACAGAAAAAGATGGGCGAGACTGCCTAATTCTGCAAATATTTGTATTTCCATTTGCAGATGAGGAGACAGGTACCATATCTACCAATAGCATTTTTTGCTGAGAAGAGAGCACCAAGAAGCCCAAAGTGTGCCATACGAGATCCTGCCCGTACCAGTACATGCAGCTGTCCAGTGAAACAGTGGACACGAACTATCCATTGGGCAGCTCCTTCACTCTTCAGGATCAAGAGGAGGCCCTGGAGTGGAGATCTTCCAACCGCATGAAGCTCCACAGTCAGATGGGCCAGGCTGGGCCTAGAAGAGAGCAGACTGCCACCTCCACCTTTAGTATCAGCCCATTAAGATAAAAATTATGGAATCAGGTCTGTGCTTTCACAAATTGCTAGGATTCCTTGAATATCACACACACACACACACACACACACACACACACCATTTTCACAACATCCAAAGTGAATTACATTTGCAAGCCACTTCCCAATATTTGTGCTTTTTATTTCATTTTTAGATACTTTGAGATAAGCCATTTTGATGCAGTTTATCATAGGCCTGTTTATTCCGCATCCTTTTCCATTCCCCATCCAACTCCAAAGAACAACGTCAGCTTTCCATGAGAGTCCAGCCTCTTCTAAATATAAATGGCTTTGCTGCGTTATTTCCAGACACCCATCAATGTTAGACCCTCTGAGCAAGGTGCGAGTGTGTACCTGGGGGCAACACCTTTGGAAAGGACAATGTGAACTTCAAGATCTTGAGGAGGGTCAGGATTCTGGCAGATTCTTAGGGGCTGCAGCTGGCGCTCAGAGGCAAAGTGCTTGGGCGTTAGGAAATTCCTACGCAATTTGCAAGTTGCCTGGGCAGTCCCACCTATTGAGGGGTGAAGCAAGAAGAGAATTAAGAAAGCGTATAACCACTGAGATAGGGTCTTGCTAAGGAAAAAACATTTGGCTGTTTCCACTGATTTAACATCAAAGACCCTTTCAGTCAACTCTTTTAGTTGGCAATGGGTTTTCACTTGACATTGTTGAATTCACAAGGTCCCTGTCTTTATTTCACTGACATTCAATCTTGTATAGGCCTGATAGGATCCACCTAAATACAAACCAAATTCTAACCCGTATATTTTTAGCATAATTATTCATTTAATAATAATTTAATTTAATAATAGATTATTCTTTTAACACAATTATGGATTCATACTTGTATTTGATTCAGGTTAGAAGCCTGATTTTCCTCCTTCCTGAAGCCCTTCTTTTTAGCTCTAAACTCAAAGGCTCCTTTCTACCTCCCCCTCTGTACGCGCACAACATACTCACACCTGTTTCACTGCTACTCTTATTATACTGCTAAACCCCACAATTTCTACCGCCTGCATTAAGGCCTTCCAGAATGCATCCCATCCACCCATAGAAAGAGCAGGTAATTCTGAAGCCAGCTCGGCTTCCGTGTGGCCCATACCAGACCCCAGGCGTGTGTAGATTGTATTAACTCCACGATACTCAGCCAATGAAGTGACCCCTCCATGTTTCCTACGTGCCCACTTAAGCAGGCCTTTCGCAGTATTTGGAAAGTTGGTCTCTGCAGATGCCACCAACTGAGAGGCTGAGAGGCTGGAGCCCAGAGAGACCTGGAGACAAGGGAAAGATAAGGCGAAAGATTTTTGGTCTTAAATTACTTTGATTCCATCAATCATATCTCAGATTTACTTTAATCTGGGAGAGAGTGACAAGAACTACACCTCAGCCATAGACTTACAGGCCCACTCAAACCTAGAGTATCTGAACAGGCAAAGGAGGGTACAGACAATTGGAAAGGACAAAAGGGGGACACACTCTTCAATTTTTTTGACATTTGTGACAAATTTTTCAGTGAAAAATCACAAAAGAAAAAGAAAAAAATGTACCCAGGTCTATAAGCATATGAAATTATTTTTTCCAGCATCAGAAAGAATTCTGATTTTTCAGCTGCAGGAATGTGCTAAAGCTGGTTGGGAGGGTCAAGAAGTATCTTGTAGATCAGGCATGTTCAGCCTGTAGCCAACAGGCCCCTTGTGGCCCTGAACAGCTAGTGATGTGACCCCCCCCCCAAGATCATAATAACAAATATAAAAATAAATAAATGAAGTTAGTTATGTGTATACGCATTAACTATTTTATATGCAGTCCAAGACAATTCCTCTTCACTTAATGTGGCTCAGGCAAACCAAAAGGGTGGACATCCTTGTTGTAGAAATTCAAAAAGCTGGACTATATTTGAATTTAAAGCTATGTCTGCCTGCCATATGGAAGATAGCAGGACAGGTCCTCCTGTTGCTACATATCTGAAAGTCTTATTGAAACCTCACTAACTCAATTCTCCCATATACTGCATATGGTGGAAAAAAAAAAAAGTTGTACTTTCTGTGAAGAATATTTTCCAGAGCTTGCGGTATGAACTTAGTAGTGTAGGTTGTCGGCTTATCTTTTCAGAGGTTTTACCAGTATATAAGGAACAAAAAGGGAAGGGCCAGCGTTTAGCAGAGTTTAATGTGTGGATTAAGGAGTGGTGTAAAAAGGAAGGCTTTGGTTTTATTAGTCATGATGTCTGCAGCTGGTCCAATGAAAAACTGTACAAAAGAGATGGTTTGCACCCATCCAAGAAATGGACTGAGTTACTTGGCATTAAATTCACAGATTTTCTGGATAAACATTTAAACTGAACAGNGCAGCTGGAAGGTATGTGGGTCAGAGGGAGGGGGCAGGGGGAGGAATTCAATTTATTTGTAATGTAAGTAATTGTAATTTGTTTTTATTATGTGTGGTGTGTGTGTGTGTGTGTGTGTGTGTGTGTGTGTGTGTGTGTGTGTGTTTTTACCCGCCTCTGCTGGTGCGTGGGCTGGGACATTTATTTTTATTTTTTATTTTTCATTTTTTATATATATTTTTATTTTTTAAAGCCATGCCGGCTCGGCCGTCATTCAGCAAAACATGTCCTGGTTTGTGGCCGGGTGGCAAACATGCCGCCAGGCCACAAATCAGGACACATTTCACTGAATGGCGGCCGAGCCGGATTACATCCCGGAGCACCCAAGCCCCAGGGAAGGACCCCATCCTCGTGGGAATGGTTTCCGCCGGACCTGTGGCTTGCCAAGCGCTGGAAGGCTCACGTACTGCAGAGGGTGGCAGAGATAAGGGCGGGTGACAAGAAGGGGCGGGTGCGGTGGAGCAGAGTAGAAAGCGCCAACAAAAGGCATCTCCGGAGTCTGAGACTTCCCGCCCTTCCACCTGTGGAGCCGCTCCAGCCATATCGCAGGGAAATGGGCGGCTGTCCCTGCGGGTGGCAGCTGCTGCTCCCGGCTCTGCTGCTCCTCAGCGGCACCCAGGGTCAGCTCCGAGGTTAGCGCTCCATTCTGACGAGGTTATGGGGAATCCCGAAGGGTTGAATCCCGGGCCTCTGCCCAACCGCCGTGTCCAGAGTGGCGCCAGTTGAGCCCTTTGCCCTGGTCACCTAATCCGTGAGGATGGGTCCGCGTCTTAAGGACTGCAGACCGGGAATTCCTCTCCTCAATCCCCCAACCCGCGCCCTTAAGTCAGAGACCCGCATGCCTGGTTCGTCCGGACGCGCAAGGCGAGGGTGCGGGGAAACGGAGCTAAAGGGGAGGGAGGTCAGCACGCCCAGGTCAGCGGGGCGCGATGCTCCGGCGGCGGCGGAGAAACACCTTCAATTTCTTCGTGTGGTTTTTCCCCCCCAGCTGAGTCGGGGAAGGTGGAAAAGTTCCCGGAGTCCTTGCTCCGCTGGTAGCACATGTAGGGTTGCAATTGTGGATTTCCACACGCCTTTCTCCGTAGAAAGTCAGACACTGACTTTCAGTGGCCCAAGTCTTTCGGAAAGTCCTGCGGCGGGGACAGAGGAGGCAGGGGGGGCAAGGCGGCAGAGCGCGGCAGCAGCAAGAAGCAACATCCCCGCCACTGTGTCCGACAGGCATCTCGCGTTTATGTCCACCATAAACAGGCGGGGACGTTGCTTCTCACCGCTGCTGCAGTCTTGCCTCACCAACGGTAACCCTCACCGCACGTCACTGTCTTTCTCTATCTCTTTCTGGTCATCTTGGTGCTGTAAGATAGAGTTGCACCAGTCTTTTTGCAGAAAGAATTAAAAACAGAATGCAGAAGCTATTGCAAGATGAATTTCCAGAATAGAAGTCTAACAATGCCCCTGTCCCTCATGACCACTGCTGATATGTTTCCAAACTATTTGGTGAATGAGGGGCTCTTCGTGCTCTCTGACCTTGCTTGTTTTCTTGCAGAAGTTTCATTACCCAAATAAAGGTAACATCAACAGTGCTAGTAAGGAGTGCAATTTGATGTGCCGCACTCCTTAGTAGCACTGATGGTGTTACCTAGTTTGGATAATGAAACGTCCGCAAGAAAACAGGCAAGCTCAGAGAGCACCAAGGACCCCTCATTATAATCCTGGGCTTCAAATATTCCCCTTTATTGGTCTTTGGTAAGTACTTTTTCCACCTCAGCCCTTTCAACAACTACCTACCATTCAGTCCAGCAATCAGAAGAAACCTGTTCACCCGCTCAGCTTCGGTGTAAGAGGTGAATGCCGGCAGCTTCTGCTCTGCTGCATATTGTAAAGGATCTCTAGCGTTAGCCAGCTCAGGAGATGTCTGCTGAATCACAGTGAGAGGCTGCTTCTTTTCTGGGTTGCTGATGGTGACTTTGTGTGAAGCCTGGAATGAAAACAGGCCAGATGGATACATTGAGAACATTGAAGAGCAACAGCCAACTCAAAGGGGAGGCGGGCCAGGGAAATCAAACAGAAGAACACTAGTGCTTAGAAAGGCTCCTAGATAGAAAAGCATCTTCTCCCTTTCACCAATAAGGAATAACGTGGAGTGACATCCAGCCAAAGAAATAATGCTTGATGTCAGGGAGAACAATGGTACAGACCAGCATACAGAAAAAGATGGGCGAGACTGCCTAATTCTGCAAATATTTGTATTTCCATTTGCAGATGAGGAGACAGGTACCATATCTACCAATAGCATTTTTTGCTGAGAAGAGAGCACCAAGAAGCCCAAAGTGTGCCATACGAGATCCTGCCCGTACCAGTACATGCAGCTGTCCAGTGAAACAGTGGACACGAACTATCCATTGGGCAGCTCCTTCACTCTTCAGGATCAAGAGGAGGCCCTGGAGTGGAGATCTTCCAACCGCATGAAGCTCCACAGTCAGATGGGCCAGGCTGGGCCTAGAAGAGAGCAGACTGCCACCTCCACCTTTAGTATCAGCCCATTAAGATAAAAATTATGGAATCAGGTCTGTGCTTTCACAAATTGCTAGGATTCCTTGAATATCACACACACACACACACACACACACACACACACACACCATTTTCACAACATCCAAAGTGAATTACATTTGCAAGCCACTTCCCAATATTTGTGCTTTTTATTTCATTTTTAGATACTTTGAGATAAGCCATTTTGATGCAGTTTATCATNTCCCCAGTTCAGTCCAGGGCCCTTTAACTAAGTATCTTTGACATTGATGGAAAATTCCCAACATATGCCTTCCTCTATGCATGATTTCCTGCAGCTTTAGCATGACTGCAGTGACGACCCAGTTAGAGACTGGAAACTACTCAGCATCTATTGGCCACTTTAATCTGCTCCATCCACATCTATGCTTTTCAATCTTTTGCTTATAAGAAGCAAAAGAAAGGAACTCCCTTCACAAAACACCATAATGCCTTACTTCTGCAAACGTTCTGCCAGCCCATTGCATTTGGCCAAAGTAGATATAATCTGGGTCCCCTCACTCAAACATTACCATTTTATGGAACTTCTCTGTTGCTTGCCCAGCCCACTGCAATAGCATCCACCACCCCAAGATATATATGGCACTCACTTTCCTGGGTTTCGGGAAGACTCTTAAGACCAGACCTGATTAGGGTGTCAGTGAAATCTCTGAGCTTTTAAAAACTATTCTGGCTTTATTCTTCTTCTTCTTTAATTTTTATCTGTTTCAATTATATATTTTGATGTGATCCACCCAGTGTCTTTTGAAATGAGCAGCTATAATACATATTACTCTCCTTCTCCGTTATTCCACCAGAAGACTCACTATGACTAATTCCAGATTCAAATCTGTTGTAACACAAATCGTCCAGTTCCCTTTTGCAAAGGGACACCAGCTTTTGATGGCTATTCTGCTAATGAGAGTGGTGGAGAAGACAAGTTACAATGTGAGGGCTGGCTGGCAGGAGGAGTGGAGACTTTACCTTCTAGCCCCCTTATTGTCACAATGCCCCATCAGGGATTAGAAAGGCGAATAAATGGTCAGAAAGAAGCAGAGAATATTGTGGTTGAGTGGGAGGGAGTTTTCCGGTAAAGCAGGAATCGGAGCATGCCAGATTTAAAAGGGACCTTGAAGATAATCCACAGCTGCAGATGCTGACAGATGGCCAGCCTCTCTTGAAATATCTCTCCTGCTCCTCTACTCCACCTACGCAAGTTAGATGCAATCTCTAGGTTAATAGAGACTCTGCTCCCCAGAAAAGCAAAATAACAGATTTCTGGGAGACAGCTTAAGCATGGCTTAAGAGCAAAGTATAAGATCCATCCTTCACTTTCCT